AGGGCCACCCCGAACATTCTATCCCCTAGAATGACAAGGTGGTCCGAATTCCTTGCAGCCTACAGTTACCGGCTCACACACCGACCTGGTAAGACAATCTCCCACGCAGACGCCCTGAGCCGCACGCCGCTACCAGACTTCGACATCGACCCAGCACCCACGACGACCACACTCAGCATAGAGACTCTGCCCGATTTACCCATAACCGCGTCAGACATTGCCCGTGAAACTAATAAAGTCAAACGTCTGGCGCGGGTATTGCATTGGGTAGAGAAGGGGTGGCCCAAAAAAGACGACAACGAGACCTTCAGGACATTCCGGAACCGACAAACGGAACTGTCATTACAAAAAGGGTGTTTACTTTGGGGGGACCAGGTTGTTATTCCGGAAAAATTACAGGGAAAAGTCTTGGAATTGTTGCATGAGGGGCACCCGGGCATCGTAAGGACAAAGGCCTTGGCCAGAAGTTACGCCTGGTGGCCAGGGATGGACAAACAAATCGAGGCCTGGGTGGCAGCATGCAACAGATGCCAGGAAAGCAGACCCAGCCCTCCCGCCGCCCCAATCCTGGAATGGGAAACCCCTAGGGGACCATGGTCCAGGATCCACATAGATTTTGCCAGGCCCACAAAAGGACACACCTTCCTCATCACGGTAGACGCTTACTCCAACTGGTTGGAGGTAAGTAACATGAGAACTACCACCACAGAGGCCGTCACCAAAGAACTCAGCAAACTATTTGCAACCCACGGCCTCCCAGATGTCCTCGTATCCGACAACGGGCCCCAATTTACCTCGCTAGAATTCTAAAAATTCCTAGCGGAACAGGGAATACGACACGCGTTGACAGCGCCGGCACATCCGGCGGCGAACGGGAGGGCGGAACGGATGGTTCAATTTACAAAAAAAAAACCATCCAAAAAATAGAAAACGGGGAAATCCAAGAAAAAATAAACAAGATGCTCTTTATACAACACATAACCCCGAATACAACAACCAATAAAAGCCCGGCAGAACTATTGATGGGGAGGAAACTAAGATCCCCACTCGACAGACTGCACCCCACATACAACCCGGAAAAAACCCCAAACTCTTCAAGCAGAGACCGAACCTTTAAAACAGGCGATGCGGTATACGCGAAAAACCTCACCGGAGACCCACTCTGGGTACCATAACCCAAGTGACAGGTCCCTGCTCGTACCGCCTACAGACAACCGACGGACGAGCATGGAAACGACACATCGACCAACTAAGGTCTAGAATAGCCACGGGAAACACAACCGACACGCTAGCAGAAACAAACAGAGAAGGGAACCCCCCCAACACAAACCAAGAGGGGAGGGAAGGCCCAAAGAACCAAACACCACTAGAAAGAAACCAGGAATACTCACCGGCAAGCAGCCAACTCGACACCTCACCAGGGAGAAGCAGCCAGGCCAGCTCAACCAGCCCGGAAAGACCAGGCGGGAGCGGCGACCGCAACTCAACCAGCCCAGGTAGACCGGGAGGGAGCTGCAACAAAAGGCCCAGCCCAGACTTCCAGACGGTTCCATCAACAGGACGAGGAGCAACACAGAACCCGACCGAACCGGCCGGGAGCCAAGCACCAACTAACCTGCGCAGGTCAAGTAGACAAGTGCGTAGCCCCGCCTACTTATGGGACTACGTTACATAAGACCCGACCAAGAGGGGAGGGGTGTTCTGTACAGTCATTACCATTCTTGTAGAACCGCACAGCGATTGGCCAAGACGCACAGCGAGCGGATTGGCCGAGCGAGCCGCACTGATTGGCCCGCCGCGAATCTCCCGCGATTGGTGGAAACTAATCGCGGGAGATTCAAAGCGGTGCCATTGGCTGCGGCCGCCGCGGCCAAAGAATAAAAGCCGCCGCTTTTCCTTACGGAACCCGAGCCGATCTCGGGACCAATAAATGAGCTGAATTGAGTCACTGGCTCCGAGTCTCCTTTCCTTTGCGCCGGACACAACACAATACATTCACAACTAACTCTGATGAGGATTTAGCATTTTGTATATATTAAAATGCTTATATAGCCTAAGTTTTCCATACCTTTTCTCATATAACATACATAACAAAGAAATGATATTGGGATTGTGAGTTCAGTGTAGCTTATCATGAGAAGAACATTTATAAATGCATAGAAGGGTTTCCTTCAAATGCTGGAAATCTTGCTTTGTCTAATGCATAAGAAACAATTGAAGTGTGCAGTTGTAGGTTCTTTCTCGGATTCTGCAGTATCAGACACTGTGTGATTTGCTATTGCAAAGATGTGCAATGCAGGTCAATATTTCATGAGAAATGTTTTCACTTAGAATCACAGAATCATTGGGCTGGAAGAGCCTCAGAGGTCTCCCACCCCCCTGCCCAAGGCAGGAGTCCTTATATCATCCAAGACAAATGGTTGTCCAATCTTTTCCTGAAAATCTCCAGCAATTGAGCACACACAACCCTGAGAGGCACCGATTAATCATTCTCAGCATCAGGAAATTTCTCCTTATTTCCAAGTTGGATTTTCTCTGACAAGCTTCTACCCATTGTTTCTTATCCTGCTTTCAAGTGCTATGAAGAATAAATTGTTCTTCTTTTCCCTGTGACAGCCCTTCAAATATTGGAAAACTGCTATCAGGTCTCCTCTAAGTAGACAAGAACTAGTATCTTTTTAGAAATATTTCTGTGTCAGTTCAACTCCCAGAATTCTCTTCAAGATATAGCACATTATCTAAGCCTTTTCTGCTTGCTACCCAATAGATTACATCCAACGTAAATTCTTTTGTTGACAAAAAAAGGGGATGTCTTTCATCACTGCCTAACAGCTCCATCAGAACTCCAGACTGGTGCTGCCCTAAAAGTGCTCCTTTGGCAGTCCCCATGGGGCTCTCATCCATTTTGTAGATGCTGCTATAGACAACTGAGTTTATTTTGCTGCCATACATAAATATCTAAAGAAAAAAGTCAAGTTTCATTTTTTTCCTGGCTCAACTTTACAAACATGATCTTTAGGTTTTTTTGTTTTTTTTGCAAGAATATAGAAGTATTTTTTCAAAAAAGTAAAAAAGCCTATACAGGTAGACTTCAAATTATTTAGTGACCATTCAAAGTTATAATGGCACTGAAAAAGTGCCATTTTCACACCTGTGACCATTGCAACATTCCCATGGCCACGTGATAAAAATTCAGACTCTTGGTAACTGACTCATATTTATGACAGTTGCAGTGTCCTGGGGTCATGTGATCATCTTTTGTGACCTTCACAATGTGGTATTAGATTAATCATTACCCAAACCCAAGCCAAAGTTTTATTCCCACACACAAAAGCCAGATTCACTTAACAACAGTGCCACTAACTTAACAACTGCAGTGATTCATTTAACAACTGTGGCAAGAAAGGTCATAAAATGGAGCAGATGTCTCATTTAACAATAGAAATTTTGGGTGCAATTCATGTTCATAAGTCAAGGACTACCTGTATTGTAATTTCTCCTGGTAATTTTTATAACACCAGATCATCCAAATTCCCATTGTAAATATTTCGATTACATTAAAATACATAGAGTTTTATTTTAATTGAACATCTTTTGTAGAGATGTAACTTGCTATTTAAGGACTGTTATCCCAGTGGCAATGATACTGTCTGAATTTAATTTCAAGTTAGAAACACTGCATTCCTCATCTTGTAACCTAAAATACTCTGGTCTGCAGTATAAAAAACACAATGGAGAATGTCTACTGCACAGATTGCTAGTTGCAGCAAACAGTGGAAGCTTTTCAGTGACATCCACAAAGATCCACCGAGACTCCGCTGAAAGCATTCAACTCAATTTCTTCCTTTGACCCAAACCACTTTGGAAAATCATGTTTCCAGATGTGAAAGGCTCAGCATATTAACCTTGCTGCAAACCCCCAACCTTCTGCCATCTGCTTTTATAGCAGAGGCATTTCAATGAAACTACTGTAGTGATAAGAGATACTAAAAGTCAACACAATACACAAGATCATATTCCATTTTCAAAAGTCTTTCACTTGGTGTATCAACTGAACCTTTAAAGAAAACTGCAGGTAGAAAATACAGTATAATTTTACCATTCACATTTCATCTCTTCTTGTCAGAATATAGGAATTAAACCATGACATGCAAGAGATTCTAATCTTCATTTTGGCTTCCTGATTAAAATCACTAATTGCTATTAATTGCAGCAATCAAACTAATATGGAAGTTTTTGATTTTCACATGGCTACATTCCACAGAGAAAGACAAAGGGAGATGACATAAATCCAGATAAATACTATTTTATTCTCATAATGCTAAATCGTAGCATTTTAAGAACTTAGGACTTTAGATTTCCTGAAGGAATCATCCCAACATACAAAGAATATATAATGTCTATCTTCCATTCTCCAGAATTCCTACTACAATGAAAAAAAAACCCTTCTATATCTGATCAATGGGACTGAATCGCATCTGGTAATTCAGGCAAAGTGAAAACTATATCCAGCACAGACCAGATTTGCAGTAGACTTCATTATGTATGCAGTAATTACACTTCAATCTCAAATTTGTGAAGACGTACCAGTTTGAGACAATATTTGATCTTAAGATTTGTGACATTCATTTTACCTCAGTTCAGCTGTAGGTATGTTTGCATTGACATACCACTATAAATTATTCTCATTTCATAACTAGGATTTCTTTATATATCTACTACTATGCCATCAATTACAAGCAAAAGTAAAGAGCATGAGTTTTATTTGGTACAAGCATCAGGGTATTTGAGTTAAGGAGTTGTAAGACACTAGTAATTCAAATCCTTTCACTACAATATATCCTTACAAACCAATGCAGAACTATTCACTAAACACTCCAATCCTTTTAGCCAAGTGACAACATGCCATAATAATTAACACTCCAAAAGTAACTATAAAATCCATCATATGAATAGAAGGGATAGAAGAAGCAGACCTTGAGGCATTAATTCTATCTTACCTCATAGAGGGTAATTATTCCATTAGTTTCATTTGGTGGCTTCCACTGAACATAGATCTTCTCTTCAAATGGTCCTCCCTGAATAGATTCAAGGGGAACAGTTCCAGGAACTAAAAATAAAATGAAAACTTTGTAAATCATAATGTTTCATTTTTTCTCTATAACCTAACATTAAAATCAATGTACACTCCAATTTTTGACAAAACATTGTGCAATTTTTCCAAAACCACATACACATTTGTGTGCCACAATAATATGAATGCACTGTAAATAACAGATAGTCCTCCCTTAATAACATTGACACCTGAATTTCCATTGTCAAGTGACACAGTCATAAAGTACAATGGCATGTGACTGCATCACTTGGTGATAGAAATTCTAGCCAGGGGTGACTCATGTGATGTATTGGGACTTTCCCCCCCTTCGCTAAACTGGGTGTGTGGGCTGTCAAGTGCATGACGCATCTGGCCTAAGGGCCAGGAATTTGACAGCCCTGTTCTAGCACTTCCGGTTGCCTCTATTAAAATGAAACACCATGGGTCATTAAGCATGGGCATATTGTGGTCACCATTTGTAACCTTCTGCCAATCTTTCCATTGACTGTAGGAAAGCAGAAAAGATTATTGCAAATGGCAATCATGTAACCATAGGGACATTGAAACTGAAATAAGTGTGGGGATTGGTTGTAACTACCATTCATTCAGCACCATTGTAAGTTTGAATGGTTACTGAATGAGTGATCATTAAGCAGGGATGTTCAATAGTGAGTCCAAATAAAACTGAAGTGCTTAATTTTTTTTGTGTTCTATTAATTAGGTCAGTGATCCCCAACTGTCCCAGTTTTGTGAATTGGTGGTGCTGGCAGTGGCAGGCGCACCCACAGCTCAATTTGTGCATGCAGTGGGCATGCATGGAGCTTTGCACACACATATGCATGCCCACTGCTCACAGCCCAGGGATGGGGACCCTTGAATTAGGTTACTCACTTCCATAAAGAGATATCTCTTCTCTGAAGGAGTTGGGCAGTTTAGAAATATGAAATATAAATATGTTTAATCAACATATAGATCTTTAATTCCTTTCCTTCTCTTACCCTCCTGGAAGAATGACATTTTAAATAAATAATGAGTAAATAGCAGTAAGGAATAACTACTGCTGTTCAGATACCTAGTTAACACAGTATCTATTAACCTGAAATAACTTTTTTAAAAATGCAGTAATCATCAACTTTGACAAGCCCTTGAACATTAATTCTTAAGCACACTTTAAGCAAACTCACCTGAAACATTTTGACACATATTTAGAGAAGACAACCAAAATCTCCCAACACATACTGTATAGTTATTGATTTTGTTAAGATGTAATCAGAACGAATCATCCACAAAAAGCAAAATGGGAAGCTTCATTATGTTTAGTATTAGCTATAATTTTACCCTGCAACAATTTTCAGAGGTTTATTTCCACAATATCAAATTTTAGTCTATTTTTGGAATGAGCTGTGAATCATATTGGTTGAATTTTTATCTACCAGTAAAATCTTATTTTAAGCAGTTTTTAATTCCCTTTCATCCCCAAACAATTTAAATAGTAAGAACTTTATTTCTTACCATCCTCTTCTGTTTGAACCACCAATTCTTCACTCTCCATCTTGCCCTCTGGATTTGAAAGAGCCAACCTCAATCGAATAGTCATGAAGGGGCGCAATCCTCGCAACGTGTAATGTGATGATGTCTGAATTAGTTCCTCTGCTTCATATTTCTGCTGGTTGAATATATACTGGTAATGAACTGTCAAGTTATAGCTGTGGCAACGAGTCACAACATAACCAAAAGGTTCCCACTGCAAAGTCAACTGACGTGATCGGATGTCTACAACCTCGACATTCTGAGGACCATGGACTGGATCTGTGAAGGAAAAACATGTCATGCTTTAGTTAATGAAAAATGAAAGCATCTGATGGATTTGCATGTGAACACTGGACAGAGAAACTTACCAGCTTCCACTGGAATAAGCCTTGCAACAACACTCAAAGTCTACTGACTAACTACCCTGATGTATGCTAGTGAGTCTTGGACTGTATACAGGAGGCACTCTTGGCAATTGAACCATTTCCACATTACCTGCCTCCACAGACTTTGGAGGATCTGGTGGCAGGACAAGGTGCCAGACACAGAAGTCCTCTCCAGAGTAGACCTGCCATCAGTTCACACCTTTCTGATTAAAGCCCAGACATGCTAGGCAGGCCATGTTGCAAGGATGCTAAACCACCGCATTTCCAAAACAACACCTCTATGGTGAGCTGTCTCAAGGAAAGTGATTGCATGGGGGACAAAGGAAGTGATACAAAGACACACTGAAAGCCTCTCTCAAGTCCCTGGATATCAACACCACCTCCTGGGAAATCCTGGCACTAGATCGATCAACATGCACCATGTTGATTGATCCACCAATGCTGCCAGACATTTGAGAACAGATGGACAACCATAGCACAAGAGAAGCAAGCACTCCGCAAAGCCAGAGCTGCAAATGCTGCAATAGTGGTGCCCACACATGTCTGCCCGACAAGTGGCAGAACATTTCATGACCATATATGTCTTACCAGCCACCTGCAGACACACTGTGGACAGCCCATAACTCATTAGATGTCAAGGTCCTCTTTGAAAAAGATGAACAAACATCATCATCTTATTTGGAACAAGTGTCTTTGATAATAGCAACTGATACCCTTAACACCTAAAAGCTATAATATGCAAAGTGCTTTACCCAGGGATGCTTTGAGGATTGCCAAGAAACTGCTTTTTATATAGAATGTGAGAGTCCATTTGCTCATATTTAAGAGCTTTTGTGGCTTTATAACAACACATTAGCAAGCATTGCATTGGCTGCTCATAGATTTCTGAGAACAATTCAAAATACTGGTTTTCCAGCTTTTTATGCTTTGGATCTTAAGTATTGTCTGCTTCAAACAGAAGTTTATTATGTTTTCATTGTGCAAAAGGATAATTAAGGTACATCCATCTTAGAAGCTCAGGAGGACAAAGGAAATTTTCTTCGCTATAGCTCATGTTCTTATGAATAGCCTTCCCAACTCCCAGAGTTTGGCTGGTGCCCATTTTGATGAGTTTTTGAAAGACCATGAAAAATATATTGTTCTGTATTTTATATTTAATTTGTTCCCATTAGATTGGGTGTCAATGGAAGTTACTAAATGTACCATTTCTGATTGTGATTGTTTTATAAACTAGCTACTTTTGTTTACAAATGCATACATTTATTTATATGATTTATAAAGCCATTCATCCCACATAATAGATATTGGGAGGCTTACAAGGTTAAAACAATGTATTCCTTATATGTAAATCACTAGTAGTCATTCCACACAACTTAGGTTCATATCTTTCATTTCATCCTTTAATTCATGTCTTTACCATTTGCATTCCATATATCACTGATGCAAAGTGTGCAGCAAACTGTTAAACCCATAGATATTTACCACTACTGACATTAGGGCATGAGTCAATCAAAGTATTCATACACTTTGTAGGCAATTCAGAAAAAATGACCTAGGTTAGTAACCTCAATTCCACCCATACACTATATAATAAGGGCAGTTCAAGTCAGTTTTGGCACAGCTTCTCTGTTATATCAGAAATGAAAATATAACCCAAGTTTTACCCCAAGCATTTAAAATTGAGCAACCATTTTAAAGCTAATATGTTGTTGCTGACACCTCACCATGTAGTAGGTAGAATCAAAATAAATAAATAAATAAAATAAATAAAAAATAAATATACCGACCTACCATCAGGAAACAAAACAAAGCTATTCTTCCAATTTGCTCATAAATAAGGAATAGATCCTTTGAACAACTGCTGCACTGTTTCTATCTATAGAATTGATGCCAATAAAACCTATATTGTCACATTTATTTTAAATGTGTTATTTTTTAACAAAAAATGATTCAACAGTGTAAACATTTAAAATCAGTATTTCTCACATGGAGGGAAAGGAGTTTGTGTTGGTGAGACCATTTAAAGAAATATGGACGTTATTCTTGATTTTAAGATATACAGCAAGGACCTTAAAGTATCATTCTAATTAAATTTGCACTTAGATTAAACTGTGGTTTGTCAGACCATGGTTTGCTGAATAAACCACAATTGCTTTGTTACCCAGAGTATGTCCACAACACAAGTTTACATTCTGTAACACTAGCTTTGCAAAATGCATTGTGCCCAAATTTTAAAAAGTGCAATACTATTGTAGTAACAAATTACCAGATATGAGTTAGTAATCAGAATGTAAAATGGGGTAAGTAATTGATTTTGCATTCCATGCTAACCAGAAATGGCAACTATTTCAAGTTTGCTTACCATATGTGCTATAGATAACCTTAAACTTTAGTGTCACATCATACAGAGGGGAAAATAGCAGTGCATTAACAAGTAGAGTTGTTTAACATCTTTTCTAAGTTTGTTATTCAATTGTTAGATGGCCTTCAACCAGTGTAGCATGTGTTTTGAAAATCTGTCACCTGCAATGAATCATCCTTTAATCAATGAAACTGGTTTATCCATGCACTCAAGCTTTAGGAATTTAAATCCTGATTTGGTTGAAATAAGGTTCAACATTTTCAGTTTCATTCTCAATATCTGTTCAAATGTAACTAAATATTACATCCACATGCTTCAGTTAAACTAGTAGAGTTTTCTCATGCAGAGATGGATAGCTTTTCTAAACCCATAATTCCCATAATACTGAGGAAAGCACAAATGCATAGGTATACAAAGCAATTAATCAAAGAGGGAGTTTTTAGAAATACAAAATGGTAAGTGCAAAAATAAACATTTTTTCCCCAGCTGAAATAAGTTGCTTTCCTGCATCATCTTTTTGATCTTTTCTTTACAGAATTAAAAAAAATGATTATTTTGGCAAGTAATAGGAAATTAAAAATATCTTTTTCTGTATAAGAATAACAACCTAAAAAAAACATGTACAGAAAACCTGTTACCGCTCAATGTGAGAGAGCCCAGGAGACAGTTTAAATAGTATATGTCACTCACTTCCAGAACAAGATTCAACCACTATGCCTAAGCTATTTCGATAAAGTATGCATGCTACCATGGCATTTCTAATGTATCACTGTATAATCTGAAACCAATGTAGTCCATGTCAGTGGGACACTAGGAACTCAATCAATTTGTGCTAATGATCTTTTTCTTTCAGATCCTTGCAGATGGGGAGTTGGCTAATGAAAGCAAACCTGGACTCTAAAGATGTAGAGAACCTACAGAAGTTTCTTCTTCACACTCCCTTGAGCTTTCTGGGACAGAGTTTGAAAACAAAAGGAAACTCTTTGTAGCCACAGCAGTCAAGAATTCAAAGCTACATTCAAAATAAAACGTCTCACCAAGGAACTCTTCTGAAGTGGCAATTTGAGCATTGTTCTCCAGTTCTCACATCATCAGTCTCAATAAACCTTTCAACTTCAGCTGTGAGCATAAAAGCAACTCCTTATTGATGGAGTCCCTGCTTTGGTTCTTTTCCCCTGGGGAAAAAGGGTTGCCAATTTGAGGAACCAACCTCCTTTCTCTGCTTGGACAATGAGTTATACCAAGGCCAGGCAATGTAGAAAGATGGGGGGGGGGGGTCTGTTTATACAGGCCTGATAAAGAGTAATCCAGCAGGTGCTTTCTCTGCAGGATTCTTTTTGTTGTCCTTTGCATTTGCTATCTTCCTTGTTGTCTTCTCCAACCTCATATTGCTCCTTCATCAGAGCAGCCTTTAGGCACAGCAGGCAGAAAGTCTGTAAACATATGTACTCTGTTGCTGTGTGTGAATGAGTGAAGTTGGGGTTGTTCTCTGCTCTTTTCATGATAGACATGCAGACAAGGTCCTCCCTATCTCCCTCAAGCATTCACCATTCCATCAGAACTGTATTAACAGGCATCCAAGTTGGTGCTGCTGCTGCTGCCTGTGATAATTGAGCCACATCAGGGGTGGGATTCTACCAGTTTGCACTTATTTGCTAGAACCTGTTGTTAACATTCTAAGCAGGTCAGAGAACCTGTTGTTAGAAGAAATTACTGGCCTAATCCTGTAAGGAAGGCAGGAAGGAAACATTCTGGTGTTGCTTACAGAAACTGCCTCTCTATTAACCCTTGTTATGTTCTTGGCACGACTAGACTTCCTGTCTCAGGAACTTCTCTGGAGTTTTTTTCCCCTTCTTTTGCTGATACTTTGCTTGTGTGGAGTGACCATTCAAAGTTACAATGGCACTGAAAAAAGTGACTTATGACCATTTTTCACACTTACGACTGTTGCAGCATCCCCACAGTCATGAGAGGCCAGGCGAGGAGATGTGTGCCTCAATGTGAGTGATATTGAGTTGGCCACACCCAGCCAATAACATGACCACCAAGCCATGCCCACCAACTAAGCCACACCCACAGAACCGGTTGTTAAAAATTTTGAATCCCACCCCTGAGCCACATCCTCATGTTTTCAAGGATGTGCTGGTCCAGAGGCAGCCTCATCCCATCCTGTCTTCTGAGCTTATAAAAACAAACACTAAGAGTGGGGAAGGGGAGAGTGTAGCAGCAAACGTGATAAGCAGGCAGCACACTGACGGGGAAGCAAAGGCGACATCTGAAAATTGGCAGGCAAGAGAACTTTCATTCAACTGCCAGGATCATAAGCTACAATGAGCAGCATATCCTGGTGGGAATCCTGCCTGGAGCTTGGAGCTTTGCCTGGAGCTCAGAATTAACCAGAAGAGGAGTAAACCACACTGAAACAGCACTTCATTCCAAACAGTGTAAGAACTTTGTAAAAAGACAATGTATGCTATTTTATAAACTTTGAGACTTTTGTTTAAACTTAGCATTAAGACACAATATAAAGG